AGCAAAGGGCTGCTTCCCCAAGTGAAGCTGTGGTGGTGTACAAGTCCATGCTATCTCCTGGACCACCCTTTGTGAGTTGTATGATCCTCTCAGGGGGCCACTGCTTTCAGAGCTGCTTAAGAAGAGCTGAAGCCTGACAGGATGCCACTGAAGTGGTCCTGTCCTGGTCAACGCCTTCTTCAGTGGACTGCGCTCTTGCAGGAGCATCAAGGAATTCATTATGGCAAGTGTGCAGGAAGCCATTGTCTACATCAGTGGCACTCTAGATGAGCTCTTGGCTCCAGCATCAGCACCCAAGTCCATCACTCCATGTTAGTCAAACATGGGTAAGATCATGTTTGGAATTCCAGGAGCTGATGACCATTTTCCAACTGTTGCAGTAGAAGAGAAGCCTAAAAGCCCTTTGTGAAACACAGCATTCCCAACAGGAAGTCATCTCCTGCTATTTCCAATGTCTAGATGAAAAAATGAGCAGCCACATGGTCCTGGACTGGATCTTAAAGGAGTAGGAGGCACCAGGAATGCTCTCTCAAGAGCGATGAATGGCCTTGAGGGAGTAAGAGGAAGCAATGCAGGATAACTGTGGGTTTACATAGAAAAGAAAGAAATCATGAGCTTAGCCTTGACTCAGCTTTACTGGGGCCTTGTCACTTCCTCACCCAGTGGTGATCTGCTGAATCACGTGGCCCTGTGTGCTTAGCACTGGCAAAGCTGGGTCCCAGGTATCCCCAAGGATGGAAGAGGCTAGACTCTAACATTAGGAAGCTTTTTGAAGGGGGTCACCAGAGGCTTTAGCATCTATAGTTACTACCTGACGCCTGTACTAATCCTCCTACCCTTTCTATCCACAGAATCTGAAAGTAGCAGGACTTTCACAGGACCCAATACCCACTCAATGCAATTTTCTCATTACATTCTTCAAACTCCTAAAGATTTTCCTGAACTCAATACACAGGATTGTTTGAAAAATATTCCCAGGACTGGCTCCCACCTAAAGCCTGGCTGATATGTGCCTCACTAGATTATATATTTTGTTTCAGAGAATGGGGCCAGTGTAGATTCCCTCAAAAGAGCAGTAGCCAGGACTGAGAGAAGTAATATGATAGACTTTTTAAAAAATACCTGGGATGTAATAAACAATATTGTTTTTTAAAAACATGCAAGGGTTAGAGTTTCTTCCCAAACTTTGTAAACTAAGAGATAGCTTACATTCCAATAGCTATAATTCAAAGCTACAAATAGGGATTTTAACTGGATCTATCAAAGTTCTTGAAATGGTAATAGTATGAAAATACTAGATAAATTTAATGTGGCTTAAAATATCTCTCTACTAATGATTTTTAAACCCACCCTTCTCCATTTGGAGATAAACATAAACTAAGATAGTATTCACTTGTTCCTCAAGAAGAATTAATATCCAATTTTTATGAGTCCTGAAATCAATCATTCTCACTTTTATCTTGCAAACAGGTAACTTGAATTGATTTGTTTTTATTTTGTGCTATCATAGACATGTATCTATAACAGAGAAAATTATAGGCCTTTTAAAGTTTAAAACACTTTAAAAAATCAATAGCATGTAACAAAGAGTGCTTGCATTTGATTAGGTCCTTAGGAATTAGAGAGAAGGAAACCTTGGTTGTCTTTGTTGTTGTGCAAGAACGTAAACAACCAGTAGCTTAAATGTAGTGTCATTATTAAGTTTAAGTTACTAAAATCTTCTTTAAAGAAACAATACAACTTTGTCATCTTTTAAAAATACCTTGGTTGAGAGCCAAAACCATAATAATTATATTAAAGCTAAAACATGCAATAATTTCCATGGACAGGTAGGATTTATTTCTGTGTTGCAAAGATAGATTAATATTAGACATTATCAAAATAATTAACTACACTAAGACACAAAGGTGAAAAATATGAACATCTCAATAGGTGAAATGTCAAAAATGCAATTCACCATCTATTCTGGAGTGAAAAAAATACTCTCAGTGAAAAGTGAAGAGGCATCCTACAGTACTGGAGGATATAGTCATAAATGACTCATCTGATAAGGGGTTAACATTCAAAATATATAAAGAAGTCATATCCTTCAACACTTAAAAAACAAATAACCCAACCAAAAAATGGGCTGAGAACCTGAACAGATATTTCCTAAAGAAGAAATACAAATGGCCAACAGGCACATGAAAAGATGCTCTGCATCACTCATCATCAGGGAAATGCAAATTAAAACCACAATGAGATATCGCTTCACACCAGTCAGAATGGCCATTATTCAAAAGACAAGAAATAACAAATGTTGACTAGAATGCTAATGGCAGGAGAAATGGGAACCATCCAACACTGTTGGTGGGAATGTAAATTGGTGCAGCTGCTGTGGAAAGCAGTATGGAGGTTCCTCTAAAAACTAAATTAGAAATACCATTTGATCCAGTAATCCCACTTCCAGGAATTTACCCAAAGAAAAAAAAATCCCTGATTCAAAAAGATATATGCATCCCTATATTTATTGCTGCACTATTTGCAATAGCCAAGATATGGAAATAACCTAAGTGTCCATCAGTAGATGAATGGATAAAAAAGATGTGGTGCATATACATGATAGAATATTATTCAGCCATAAAAAGAAAGGAAATCTTTCCATTTGCACCAACATGGATGGAGTTAGAGGATATTATGCTCAGTGAAATAAGCCAGGTGGAGAAAGACAAATACCATATGATTTCACTTATTTGTGGAGTATAACAACAAAGCAAAACTGAAGGAACAAAAAAGCAGTAAACACAGATACTGAAAAGTGACCAGTGGTTACTGAGGGAGAGCAGTTGGGGTGGATTAAGGGAAAGGGAGAGGGGGTAAAGGGGCACAATAATTCACAGTTACAATGTAAACTGGTCATAGGGATGGCAGTACACCATGAAGAATATAGTGATTCTGTAACATCTTTCTATGCTGATAGTAGCAACCACACTAGTGGGGATGAGGTTTTAATAATATAGATAAATGTTGAACCACTGTGTTGAACATTAGAAACCAATGTAAGGTCGTATATTAACAATACTGGAATGAAAAAAAGTGAAGAATATTTTCTTAAATTTTTTATTAAGATATGATCGATATACACTCTTATGAAGGTTTCACATGAAAAAACAATGTGGTTACTACATTTACCCATATTATCAAGTCCCCACCCATGCCCCAATGCAGTCACTGTCCATCAGTGCAGCAAGATGCCAGAGATCCACTATGTGCCTTCTCTGTGCTACACTGTTCTCCCTGTGATCCCCCACACCATGTGTACTAAACAGAATACCCCTCAATCCCCTTCTCCCTCCCTCCCCACTTGCCATGAAGAATTTTTTTTAACAGAAGGAGAAAGTATACCTGAACCCAACTACTAGTGGATTAGCGAAATATTTGAGGCATTCCTAGTAAAACAATGGTTTTAAAACTGGCCTATACAATAAAAACAAACAAAAAACACATTGGTTGCAGATGATGTAGTTGTCAACCTGGAAATTCCAACAAATTAAGTTGAAAAAATATAGAGCTAAAAAGAGTTTAGAATGGTTGCCTATTATAAAACAAATCAGCATCCTTTCTATATTAAAAAATAATCCAAAATTCCTTTCACAAATGAAACTAAAAATTAATGTAACCAGAAATATACTATGGGGTGAAAAAGATCATTTTGCTCATGACATTGAATCAGAAACCGTAAAGAAAAAGTTCAAGTCAGACACCTTAATTTAAAAAATTTCTTGACCCAGTAAATGAAATTGAAAGGCAAGAAATAAACTGAAAAAAATATATATGGTAAAATTAATAATATATAAAGAGTTCTCATACATCAATGACAAAATAGGTAAAAGATATGAACAGACATTTTTTAAAAAGTATAAATAGCCCACAAACACGAAATGTTACATTTTACTGGTTATGAAAAAAGTCAAATTAAGATGATATTGGGATGATCACATTTTGCCTATCAAATCAGCATATGTTGAAAACAACTTCTGTGATGATGTAAGTGATTTATTTGGTACTCATATGAGATGCATATAAGATGCTGGAGGAAGTGCAAGTCAGTATCATTTTCTGTAGAGACTTAGGTACATATGTACTCAAAAATATGCATCTTGTTTTTTAACCTAGCAGCTCCACAACTGGAAATGTAGCCAAAGAAAATCAATAGTCATGTATTCAAGGAGATGTGAATAAGGGTGTGCACGGCAGTGTTACCTGTATTAGATAGATAATAAATACATTGTGATGTTGCATTATAATATGTAATGAATATATTGTAAGAGGACTTCTACTGTGATTAGAAAATATTCACATTTCAGTAAGGGAATAGATAGCAAAAAGTGCATACTTTCTTTTATCTCTGAGGAAAGGACTCAGAATTTCTCCTCCGTAATGTTTTGTAATAGGATTGTGGTCAACAGTGTGTAGGTTGGCCTCTCTTGTATTAATGATACCAAACATTCCCTCTTTCTTCTTCTATCCTGCTTCCTCTCTCCCTCCTCCCCTCTCTCTTCCCTTTCTTCTTTCCTTCTCCCCTTTTTCATTTTTCTCTCTTTTTTCTTGTAGCTCTTCTTTCACTGACATTTAATGAAAAAGAAAACCTTGGAAGAGTTTTAGATTCACAAATATGAGACAAAAAAGGTTGTAAAAAGGGTGAAAAGATTAGGGAATAATCAGTCCAGTGAAGTGTAAAAACTGAATAGTGGTTTAATATTAGCACAAAGTGGCTTTTCAAATTCTCTGATTACTAGAAGAAAGGTCTTATATATCTTTCTTTACTTTGTAGACACTATAAGACAATAGTAGGACTTTTAACTTTATGTGAAAAATACTGGAGGAACACATTAATGCCCTAGGGGATGAATTCCTTCCTGACAATACTAGTCTAGTTTGGCTTGTTCACCTCTTAGATGACTACATATACTTTATTTTCAGTCTTCTTAATTATATATCCCTGTACTCTCTGTTTCCAGGACTGCTGCTGCATTCCATGTGAAAAGCAGGAAATAAAATGAAGATTTTTCAGTGCAAGATGCAGTTCTGGCTGTTTCCAGTTTTTTTGGCAATTGCTTATTTTTGCACCATTGTCCAGGGTCAAGGTAATGGAAAACTTAAAGACGATCATTAGGGTCTGGGACTCTAGCCATCTTGGTTCTGATAATGATTTTTTATTTTATTTACCTAGTGGTGCTTCACTGGTTCAACTGCTTCTAGGTAGGGTCATATGTTTGCTTCTACGCAGTTTTACCAACTGTTTGCATTGTAGAAATGTGTCACCACTTGGATGAGGGTTACGACCTCACCAGTGACTGAGCATAGTAATTTTGTGGCAATGTGTTAAATAGCTCATTCTTGATGTACTTCTGAAAAGGCTGTGCAAATTTAATCAGTAAAAGTCAAATTTACATATTAGAAAACCAGATTAATAAGGAACTACAATGTTTGTATGTGTGTGTGTGTGTGTGTAAATATACACACCCCAGTCATACCTTGTCGCTTAAATAGAATGCCTACAAAATATTTCTACCACTTCATACTTGGTCCTTAATTTTGTGCCTTTCTTTAAAAACTGAGCACATAGTCTAAAGGTTGCTATGGGTCTCATATGCCATTTTAAGCATTTCTATTGATTTCTAGCTTACTTTTGTAAATAAAGTTTTATGAAAATCCACCCATGCTCATTTGATTACATGTATCTGTGACTGCTTTCACACTGCAACAGTGAAACTGAATAGTTGTGACAGAGACCCTACAGCCCACAAAGCCTAAAATAGTTATTATCTGGCCTTTTAAGAAAAACATGTGCCAACCTCTGAAGTAAATGCATAATATGTGTAAGTGTGCAAAGCTACATTACTAGATAAACATTGTAATCTTGGAAAAACCTAATTGTTGGTGCTGAAATAGTCATTCATCAGCTGAGCAAGGAAGTCTACAAGTGATAAAGTTGTTTTAGGAATGTTAATGTCTAATATTTGGAATTTAAGGCTGCAGAAAAGTCAAATGCAAGAACCACCACACCCTGCTTCTTTAAAGTGAGATATACTTGTTTGGAAAGGGATGGAACTTGAGTCTTTGCACGCTCAAGGAGTGTTAAGATGCTTGGAGTTAATGACCCTATTTCCAACTACTTCATGCAACACACAGAGATCTGTTGGATAGCCAATTCTGCTTACCTTCTTTATACTAATGAAAGAGAGAAGCCATAACAGAAATCATACATAACTCACCCTCTAAACTATGGGATGCAAGACACAGGCCCTAAGGAACAAAGGGTAAGCAAGTCATGAAGCCCTTCAGAGTTGCCACCTCAATCTAGCTCAATTCAGAGGTGGTCATTCATGGAGTAACTGCTCATATTTAGCTGTTCTGGGATATACTCAGGTATGTTGTCTACTAGATATACATTGATAGCCAAATTCCATTTTAAATGAACATTTGTGGGGCATATACTGTGTGTGAGGTTCAGGATACAAAGCTGAATAAAACTTTACTCTTTGCCTTCAGCAGTTATTCACTAGGGAGACAGAAGTATAAGAAGATAAATCACACTGCAAGTTCTGTGGGAGGTATAGCAAAAGACAAAGATGGAAAGATAGATTGGAGCCAGATTATGGAGGACTTTAAGCAGTTCAGTTTTCTAGAGAGGCTCTCTGATAGCAATATTGCTGGTACTCATATTTGTGACTCATAGGTGTTTATAGACTAGAAATAACAAAAATTAGACAGACCCTTAGAAGGTGATAGTAAGTTGTCCAGAAAACAGGTGTTGAGGGAAAGTAGGTAGGGGAATAAAAAGAAGCGAATGAATCCAAAAAGCATTTCAGAAGTTGAGGAGAAAGAACTTGTTTACTGATTCAGTGTGGAGGGAGTTAAAGAGAGGGAGATACCCAGGATGATTCTAAAGCTTTTTGTTGGAGAACTGAGTAGATGGAGCCTTTAATTCCAATTTCCGTGTTATTTCTGCTTTTATATCTTTGTGTCGTAACTGTTCGTTTACCCAAGTTCATTAAAGACAGTGATTCTCTCTTTAGTGTCTGTGTTTCCGATACAGAACAATGCCTCAGTCATAGCTGAAGAGATTTTTTGAAGAGATTAGTAAGAGAATAAAGGGTGAAGTATTTAAAGCTGAAGATGAGCTCAGACTTAGAAAAACATGTGGACCTTAACGTGCCTCTGGAACTCCCAGATGTCTGGTAGGTAGTTGGTGGTCTAGAGCTTGGGTGAGAGAGATCAGGATAGGGAATTACGTCTGAGTTGTACTGGTCTTGGGAGTTGGCTTATAGGGATCTTTGCAGTCCCTTTATGAAAAGGAGTGGAAATCAAAGATAAAAGTTCAGATCCCAGCAATACAAATAGATTTCAAAAACTCAGTTCATTTAAAACAAAGCTAGAAATCATTAGAAATGCTTAGATTCTTAGTAACCTTTAGACTTTGTGCTCAGGTTTTAAAGAAAGATAAATAATTAGAAATAATTAAAAATTAAAAAGAGATGTCCAATGGAGAGAAGTGAGGATGAAATCTGGTGGACAGTCATAGTTAAGAGGGAGAAAAAGGAGTGATGGAAAGTGTCAAAACTGCATTTGTAAAGAGGGTCAGAGGTGTGTAGTGACCTGGAAGTGAAGGTGGGAGAAACTTTCAAGAAGGAAGATGGAGGGCACACACTGGAGGGAATCCAGTAAGAATTGCATCAGATTTCAATTGGCTTTGGTTTTTAGGAAAGGATGTGAGACATTTAAGGAACCAGTTATATGCATGATTAATTTTAAACAGAGAGTAAAGAATAAGAATTGCCTTGTTTGATTGATATTTTTACTTTTAACACAGACATATAGTGAGTTCCTGTGGGTTGGCCAATCTTGACAGTAGTTTGTGAAGTAATATGTGAATGTGTTTAATATTCAATAAAGTATTTTGCTAATAACAGGTGTACTGGCTTGCTAGCTGACACTAATTACTCTCAAACCTTATATTCTGGTAGACATTTTTGGAGTCATGTTTATGCACAAAATAAAAACAATGGTCAGTATGGTAGGCAAAATAATGTGCCTGCAAAGATGTTCACATCCTAATCCCCACAAATTACCAATATAATATATAATATGGCAAAAGGGAATTAAGATATCTGATGGGGTTAAAGTGGCTGATCAGCAGACCATAAAATAGGGAGATTATCCTGGATTATCTAAGTGCGTCCTATTTGGAGCTGATTACAGGGATCCTTAAATATGGAAGAGGGTAGTAAAAGAACTAATGTCAGAGTGCTGCATATGAGAAGGACTTTACCAGCTATTAGGGTCTTTGAAGATGGCAGGGGGCCCCACATCGGGAAGCCTCTAGAATCCCAAGAAGGCAAGACAATGTATTCCACCCTAGAGCCTCCCGATAGAAATGCAATCCTACTAGCACCTCAGTTTTAGCCCATTGAGACCCATTTCAGACTTCTGTACCCCAGAACTATAGGATAATACATTTCTGTTGTTTTAAGCCATAAACTTGGTGATAATTTGTTATAGCAGCAATAGAGACCTAATACTGTCAGTGTTGAAAGATGCATGGGAAATTAACTCTCCCCTCTTAAATTGCTAATCAACAGAATACACTTTACCACTTAGTCTCTCCATGTAATTCTTTATGAAGAACTTTCCCTTTCCGGAGAATGTGAACCCACATTAGCTCAAACAACTTTTTATACCTGGGTTATATTCCAACATCTCAAGACAAGTTGCTAAATGAACTGGAACAGAAAACCTAATGTTGTGTTGACCATAGTGGGGGGGAAAGTGCATATTGAGAGAATGGTGGCACTAATACTTTCCCAGAATGTTACAGCAAATCTGTATTTGGTTCTAGCAATGTTTGTCTTGGATATTTATAAGAAGGAACCACTAAAAGTAAAGTAACTGTCATTTAAGAACCTCGAAGCATATAAAATTGGAGAGTTTGTATTAGGGCTAGATTAAATTTTGTAAAGGCCTCTGTGTTAAACCATTTACACATATTTATTTGCTGTTATTAGTAGTCAAACATGTTTGGAAGTTGAGAATATTTTCCTTCCTGCTGTTCTCAGCATCTTTTTAATGGATCATGAAGTTATAACTTATTAGGTTCTAAACCCCTTGAGCAGAACCCACAGTAAATTTCTCTCAAATTTTAACTTCTTCTATTTAAAAAAAATTTGGGCAGTGCATTTAACTGAAAAATAACTAGGATAAAAAGCTAAGGTTTTTTGTTGTTTAGGTTTTTTTAGGTCACTTGGAAAAGTAAGCCAAATACTTCTCTGTTGTTTAAAGGTCCTTTGCTTAATAAATATAATAGATTGTTCCATTGATGCAGCATCCTAAAGTATGTTTTGAAGGGAAAAACACTCTTGGTGCCCATAGTGCTCTATCTCTGCCACAGATTTTTGGTTACAAGTCAAAGAAACTTCCTCCAGACAGTTGAAGCAAAAAGTGTATTTACTGGTAGGTAATGAAGCAGCTTATATAGTGAAAGTGAGATAATTAAGCTGTGAAATGGAGGGGAACATGGGAACAGCCTGGATATAGTTTCTAGGAACTAGTAACTTTTTTTGTAAGGGCACATCATTGTCATGAAATGATTTTCCATCCTCCCATCACTGGACATAAGTTTCAGATGCTTGGGTGCGTCTGCCTGACCCGGTTTGAGTCATTTTCTCGCCGCTTAGCCAGGGAGGATGGCTGATTGACAGTGGCTGCTAGCCCCATGCCGTGAGAAGGGAGTGTTGTTCCTTGGAAGAACACCAGAGGGTGATAGAAAAGGCAGAGGTGAAGTGATTATGGGTAGTGAAGAATAGAAGGTCTTTAGTTCTGTGTTCCTGCGGGGAAAGTCTGTTTCAAGAAATTAATGAGAATATTCCACTAGAAGTAAAATTTGCATAGTTTGTCACTTGACAAAACAGCAAGATTTCAGTTGAGTTGACGTGAAGTGAAAGAAAGAATGAGGGAAAGAAAGGAAGAAAGACAGAAGGGAAGAAGGGAGGGGTAGGCAGAAAATTAGCCCTTTAATAAATAGTCGTATTATGGAATACAGTTTCCCTGGTACCTGATAAATGTGTTCAATTGAATCACATAAACA